AAGGCTCTATCTTCAAAAACAGTCCCACCCTCAGGTACTGGGACTAAGGTTTCAAAAACTGAATTTCAGAAGGACACAATTCAATCCACAACAGTATAATAAAACTTCAAAGATAAAACATAAAATATAGTATTTATAACATAATATTTAAAGTCAAAATAAGCAGACAGATCTCATAACTTGATAAAATAAAATTCACAACATATGAATTGTTTCTCAGCCTAGATCTTGAACTTGTCTCTTGTTTTCACTCTTTGTTTACAGGGGCCTCCTTACCACACATGTCCATAGAAGGGGGTGGCAGTGCATTTCCCCTCAAGTGAAATTCTGACATTTTGGAAACTAAAGTACATAGATAGAGCAATGAAATCAAGTTATACGCAGACAGATAGACCCAGGTAGGAGAGTATCATCGCCCTAAGAATATTTAATTTCACTTTCAAAATTAAGCACCAATTTGGAAATTGATATGATTTAGGTAACAACCTAATTAGAAAAATTTGTAATTGTATCAGTTTGTTCCAGCCAGTGTCCCATATAACCATTTCTACTTGGTGGAATCAAAGCCATAATGTTTGTCTTTCTTCATCTTACACAACAGGATTTACATGAAATCATAGAGGACATTTACTTTACACAAACCTTGTAAGATAATACTCCGGCTGCAAGTCAGCAATAGATAAAACCCTGACAACTCAAATGAACGGGGCCAAGAAGGTAATAAAATTTAATAGGAGTAAATGTACAAATTGTACACAAGGGACTAAAAATGCTTACTTTTAGAAAGATAGAAAGTACAGATAAGTCTGGCTTTACACAAACTCACATTAAATTTTTTTTATAGAAATTTTGAGTTAGCAGTAAGTGCACTGAGGTCAAAAGTGTGCTTACGGAGAGTTAATGTATCATCAAGCTATGAAAATACCACAAACACTCCAAAGAAAGATAATTTGATTTCAGTCAAGGCTGTCTATGCTTTCTCTACATACTTCAAAGTATGCCAGAATGGTAGAAATATTGAATTTTGTCCACATGGAGAATAACAATGAATTTTGAACTGTTAGTCAAGGTAAAAACAAGGCTGAAGAGAGATCTGACTTACCCTCAAAGATTTTAAGGGCTGACAAGAGGGATGACTTTAAGCCTAACCCCATGGCCATTTGGAAGAGTAAATTTGGCCTGTCCAATCTTATTTGTCCTTCAAAAATAATCACTTCCTCAGGGAAGCATCATTCTCTAGCCCAAGGACTGGAGCTTGCCAAACACTGACTGTGGCTTGCTTCCCTTTTCATTCTTCTCCACTAGGCAACCATTCTGTTTCTAATTGTTTGTCAGAGCAGACTAGCCCTGTGTCTTTGGTCCATCTGGGTTGCATAGACTAGGTGACTTATAAGCAATGGAAATTTGTCCCTCACAGTGCTGAAGGCTGCAAGTCCTGGAGAAATGTACTGGCAGATCTGTAGCTGTGGGCTCACTGCCTGGTCTAGTGATGGCATCTTCTCTCTCTACCGTAACTTGTTCCCTTTTTATAATATTAACCATGGGGCCTCTGCTCTCTTGACCCAACCACGTCTGGAAGTGCCCTCCTTCCAATGCCATCCTCTTGGGGAGTCAGGGTTTCAACTTATTAATGTGGGGTGGATACAACATGCAGACTACAGCAACCTACAGGAATAAAAGTTACCAGATCACGTTTGATTGGTCAGCTCAAGAGCACTCACCCCTACATAGCTGGTTGAATGAGAGTAATCATGAAAAAGCTGAAAGAGTATGAAGACACTTTGAAATATTGTGGTAATGAGCCACAGACAGCCTAAAGAAGGTAGTATCTTTGTTTCCGTGGAGGCTTTGTCTCAAGGCTAACCAACACCGAGGTTGAGGGGATAAATGTGACTAGGCTGATTTGGGGGTTCTTTGTTAACTAAGCACATATTGAACTTTGTTGCAAAAGTTTGTATTTATTACATCATAGACTGTATTTTAGCAATCAGTTAAAATCTGATCCACTTTAGACAGTTAATAAGACATTTCTACATAATAGAGTCCATTCAACCTCAGATGCCATTTGATGCTTCACATCATGATTTCTATCTTCTTCTCTCCCTACTCCTCAATGCTGATGAATAGCAGTAGCATCATTAGGATGCAGCAGACTTCAGGAAACAGTAGAAAATAGTGAGGTGAGGTCAGCCTCAGAGAAAACTATTTCTGAGATCCTTAGGATCCACTGTGCCAAAAGTAAATGCAGATTTGGTAAATGACAGAGTCCTTCCCTTTGCATTTCTCTTCCTGCTGATTCAGTTTTTTTATAGAGATCCAGTTTTTCATAGGAACAGATCAGATTTACAACAAATACAAAGATTGCATCTTTTATTTATAAGGCAAATAAAAGCCTTCTCAAACACTGTTCATTAAAATCATGTACCCTGGTGTACTGCCTTTAAGAGTATTAGCCAAGCATTACATAACTTTTGCTATTCTAGTGTAATCAGAAGTTACTGAAACCATCAGGTCAAACCTCGATGACTGAATTCCACTTTGCAATGAAATTTAGAAGATTGTGTAATACACAAACCACTGTCCGTATTTGCTACTCTGCTTCCATCCTGACATCCTTCCGGGGAAGCATTTATACATAAATACATATACATACATACTTCATCCCAAAATTAATTCATAGCCAGAAATATTTATTTGGGGAAATAAAACAATGTTACTAACTAACATTAATAGAAACAAAACAGATAAATTTTTTATTTTGAACCATAGTATACCACTTGAGAGAATTTCGAAGACAAGTGTGGGGAGTGTAGATATGATAGGGATAGGGAATGATAGAGTTGCTGAGAGGAGGTGGTAAGTAATATCGAGACAGGAGAACAGGACTTCTGAGTGTACCTATACACGAGGCCAAAAGACTGAGGGAGCTCCACACACAGTAAGATGAAGATATCCTAAGTATGCTGGAGCTATCTCCAAGACCTTTAAATGTACGCTAGCTCTTTCTGAGGACTTCATTCTGTACTACCAGGCTAGAAGGTGAAGGCCTGCATTACCGAGAGGATACGAAGAGAACAAGAGCCCCACGGTTTCAAACGCTCAAGGCTTGCTTCCATTCTGCACGGTGTGGTGTTAGTACTTGAAATCCAAAGAGCAGATGCTTGGCTTCGATTTAACTGTTTATGCTTATGGTTATGTTGATATTTATATCCTTTTAGGTGTTCTCCATCTTTAAGTAGGACCTGCCCATCATTGTAGTAATTCCTGTGGCTCCTTCTGAGGGGCAGATATGGTATGGATGCTGCTGATCCATAGACCACAACATACACAGACTACGATACTAAGCACACACCCTTGGTAGAGCACCTGTCTGTTCTGTTGCCCTGTGAATCCCTGCATCCTTCCCTCTGTATCACCGGTGAGAGATTTTCATGTGCTACTACAGTAAGCACAAGAGGGAAAAAAAAAAAAAAAAAACCTTGAAGTTACTACTTCAAGCTGAGCAACAATAAAATCTTAAGCTGTCCCAAGCGTAAAAGACTATTTTTGATATGCTTAAATTGTGCATACTTCAAGCCAATCACTGAACAGACTCACAGTACCTTTTAATGTTTCTTTTTCATAAATGAAGTGCTATGTCTGCCTAACTTTAAAAGCATTTGTGTAAAAAGACCTACAGAGCCAACTAACCTGTCCCCCTGGGGTCTCTCAGAGACTGAGCCACCAACCAAACAGCATGCATGGACTGGTCCTAGGCCCCATGCATATATGTAGCAGATGTGCACCTTGGTCATCATGCTGGTCCCCTAATAATGGAGGTAAGGGATGTCTCTGACTCTGCTGCCTGCTTCTGGATCCCTTTCCCCTAACTGGCCTGCCTTGTCTGGCCTCAGTGAGAGAGGATATACCTACTCCTGAAGTGATTTAATATGCCAGGCCAGACTGGTACCCATGGGGGACCTCCCCCTTCTCTGAGGAGAAGGAGAGGGCAGAATGGGAGGGAAGGTGTGGGGGGGGTTGAGTGGGAGGAGAGGAGAGGGTGCAGTCAGGATGTAAAATTAATTAATGAAGAAAAAAAGTATTTGTGTAATTAACACAGAGGTCAGATTTTCCAGATAACTGGTGTTTACCTTTTAAGTGTCCAAACATTTATTATTAATTCAAATGCTTCCAGTGTTAGTATTCTCAGCAAGTAATGGGTCTACTGAATACCATATGATATATCTACTTGGGCTGATTCATATTATTTCTTGGTATGAAATGGCAAGAGATTCTCAGGTCCACGTGTGATTATGTGCTCCCACACCATGGGAGTCTCGGGGACTCTGAGGGTTTCTCAATCTCAGGGAAGCAATCTTCTCCCTCCCTCTGCCATACCCAGCTAACACAGCACACTACTCTGATTGCCCTCTTCCTGAAATATCTAGTCTGATTGTGTGTGTGTGAGAGAGAGAGAGAGAGATAGAAGAGACAGAGAAACAGAGAGAGAGATAAAAGAGATGAGAGAAAGAGGAGAGAAACAGAGAAAGAGAGAGAGAGAGAGAGAGAGAGAGAGAGAGAGTGTGTGTGTGTGTGTGTGTGTGTGTGTGTGTGTGTGTCTCGCTATACAGCTGTAGGTAACCAGAAACTCCTATGTAGACTAGGCAGGACTAGATTTCAAAAAGATCCCCCTGCCTCTGCCCCCCAAGTGCTGAGAATAAAGGTGTGCGCCACGATGACCAACCGATGCTTTGTTTTTCATATGACATTCTGGGGAAGATTCTGAAACTGGCTCTCTTCTCACTTGCATTTGCTTTGTTCTGTACCTCTAAGGTGCAGAACACAGCTACAAAGGTTCCATCACTGCACCACATCCCCAGTCCTCCCCTCATGTTGTCACAGCAGGCACCCTCCTTCATAGCTTTGGGTTACTGGTTACTTGAATCAATATAATCTTTTCAGCTTAAACTAATCACACGTTTGAACCCTCTTAACTCTTACTATGTCCACAGAATACTCACTGATCCCGGTGTCCTTACAGTACTGGACCAAGTACTGTCCCATGACTTTGATCAGATTATTGTATTCGTGGACGTTGAGGAATTCTTGTTTATTATGGGATGGTTCCATGACATCCAAGGGTATGTTCACAATTCCAATCACACCTGCACCAAGTCTGAGGGAGTAAACATAAGAACTTTGTAAAATCTGGCTAAAGAAAAAGCAAAAGCCAAGACTCACTGGTTCACTTACAATCAAATCTTGCACAAATAAATCCATTGCTGTGGTATGGGCTGTATCAAAGTTATTAAGCTAACTTAAAGATATTCCATCATCCACGGTGACTTCTGGAGAGTGTGGTTCTGTCCTACAGTGTCATACCAGTATGTTCTTACCTGTTATCAATACTCTTTCCAAACCTGTGGGAAGTCCAGGTTGGTAGAAAGGAACAAACATTTGGCAAAAAAAAAAAAAAAAAAAAAAAAAAAAAAAAAAACCCGACCATACCACCAGGATCTTCATGCATGACCTGGCCTGGTCTTAAGCCTGATACTGGACAAAAACTACTACCTCAGTTCCCACTTCATCTGTCAGACGACATCTCACCAGTACAGTGGCTCTCGGGGCATTCACTGCATTCTACTGAGAGAACATAAGAGGCCCAGAAGGTGATGATGGCTATCTATCTGAGTGTTACCTTGATGCACAAAGGTTTTTCTTCTGCTTTTCTAGGAGCACAGGATATATATCCACCTGGGATATTCTGATTCTTGACATCACCAGATTTGGTGGGAAAACCTCCCATGTTCCAGCACATGAGAGACTGGTTCCTCACTGCTCTTGCCAGAGCGTATCTCACACTTTCGTAAAACTGAGGCCTCTGGCGACTTTGTACTTCACAACTTTCTTCTTATGCCCTGTCCTCCATCATTACTCAATGTGTGAGTCTAAATTTTTATCTCACACAAAGGGCCTGATGTGACTTCCTTGTTTAGTTTTCTGCCCTTCTCACATGACATTCCTTTATTTATTTATCCATGTAGCCATTCACGTGGTCAATCACTCAAAGTTAGAACTTGGACCTGTACCAGGGACTAGGAATGTAGACAAGAGCAAGAAAGACAAGGTCCCTAGTTCTCATTCACTGAAGAATGACAAGCTTGGCATTAGTAAGTAGACAAATGTTCAACATCATTTCACGTGGTGATAAATGGTTTTAGAAAAATAAAATAGGTGCTAAATTATGTGAAAAGTGACAAGAGGGTGTGACAGTAGGACTCAATTTTAATTAGGTACTCGGGGAAGGAGCTTCAGCATTCATGCCTGAACAGCATACCAAGGCTAATAGAAGATCTAAGGGCAGGAGATTTAATATCAACTGCTAAGCTAACTGCTCTAAGATTTTAAGCAAAAAAGATAATTTGAGGTTTAAAAAAAAATTGCTCTAGCTGGGCGATCATGGAACACCCTTTACTTCCAGAACTTGAGAGGCAGAGGCAAGCAGATTTTTGTGAGTTCGAGGTCAGCCTGGTCTGCAGAGCTTATTTCAGACTATCAAAAGAAAACAAAAAATTACTCTGCAAATAGTAAAGGAAAAACTCAACTATCTCTACTTGCAGACAACATAATCTTGTGCTCCAGAGAACCTAAAGATTTCACAAAAAAATGTTTGGCCTTCATAACTCCTTCCAGCAATATAGAAGATATAAAGTTCACTGTACAAAAAAATCAAGTAGCTATTTTTGTATCTTTTTATTTTTTAATATTTTTATTGGCACATATTAATTATACATGATAATGGTTTATTAGCTTTTTAAAACAATGGGGATCTCATTTACAGAAACTAAAAAGAAAAAAGAAACAAAGGACTTCTACAGTGAAGTCTTTGAGACAATGAAGAAACTTAGGAAGAATCTCCCATGTTCATGGATAAAGATAATAAATATTATAAAAACAGATATATTATCAAATACACATGCAACCCTGTCAAAATTTCAATAACATATCCCCAAACTAAAAAATAAAAATAAAAAAATTCATATGGAAGCACAAATCCCCCCGCCCCCAATAACTAAAGCAATCCTTAGCAGGAAAAACAGTACAAGAGGATCACAATAATGGAGGCTTTTAAGTATAGAGCCATACTTAAAAACAGCATGACATAGGAGAAACAAGTAACAGGACAGGAGCCTACCGCAGAGGGCCCCTGAGAGACTCTACCTAGCAGTGTATCAAAGCAGATACCAAGGCTCATAAACAAACCTTCGGCAGAGTGCAGAGAAACATATGAAAGAAGGGGGAGTTAGTATGATGTGGAAAGGATAGGAGCTCCACAAGGACCAAATATATCTGGGCACAGGGGTCTTTTCTGAGACTGACACTCCACCAAGGACCATGTATGGATATAACCTAGAACATCTGCGTGGATGAAGCCTGTGGTAGCTCAGTAACCAACTGGTTTCCCATAGTAAGGGGAACAGGGACTATTTCTGACAGGAACTCAATGGCAGGCTCTTTGGCCTCCCCACCTCCCCAAGGGAGGAGCAGTCCTGCTAGGCCACAGAGAAGGACTTTGTAGCCAGAGATACCTGATAAAACAGGATCAGATGAAAGGGGAGGAGGTCCTCCCCAATCAGTGGACTTGGAAAGGGATAGGGAGGAGATGAGGGAGGGAGGGGAGGGTTTGGGAGGGAATGAAGGAGCAGATACAGCTGGGATACAGAGTTAATAAAATGTAACTAATAATAAAAAAAAGAAAAATTTAAAAAAAAAACAGCATGATGCTGACAGAAACAGACCTGTGTGCTAATAGAATAGAAACAAGCTCACACAATCACAGCCATCTAACTTATGACAAAGCTGTCAAAAACATACATTGCAGAAAAGACTGGTGCTCAGAAAAGAAATTCACAGAGGAGTGAAAGTAGACCCGTATCTCCCACCATGACCCCAAAATTAACTAAAAATGGATCAAAGGCCATCATGTAAGACCTGAAACGCTGCAACTGCTAGAGGGAGACAAGGAGCAAAAGACCTAAAACATATTAGCACAGGCATGGATTTTCTGATTGGGATTCCTATGGCATGTGAAATAACCCCAAGAACTGATGAATGAGATTACTGATTTAAAAAGCTTCTGCGTAACAAAGGCAACAATCACCAAGGTATAAAGAGAAAGCCTACACAGTGGGAGGAGTATTTGCCAGACAGGGAATTAATGCCCATGACACATAACTGTAAAAATTAAACACCATAAAGCCAAATCATACCATCAAGAGCGGAGTGAATGAACTAAAAGATCATTCTCAAAAGAATAAAGTCAAATTGCCAAGACATATTTGAAAAGGTGTTCAACATCATTAGCTATCAGGGAAATACAAATTAAAACTGCTTTGCGACTTTTTTTTTTTGTCTCATCCCAGAAAAAACAGCAATCAAGAAAAGGAAGGACAACAAACGCTGATAAGGGTGTGGTCCAAGAAGAACCCTATTCACTGCCGGCAGAAATGCAGACTCATGCTGTCAGTACAAAGGTTCCTCACAAAATTGAAAAGAGACGTACCCGGGACCCACCTCTCTATATTCATGGGCGTCTACCTAAAAGTTTCTGCATACACATCCCAGAGATGTTTGTACATCCGCGTTTACTGCTCTGTTAGTCAATATGCAAGGACATGGGATTGGCCCAACTGTTCATTAGTAGATGACTGGATAAAGAATATGCGCTCCATATATGAATTGAGATTTAATTCAGCCATAAAGAAAAATCTGACATGGGAGGAAAAAAATCCTACAATCAGAAATCATCATGCCAAGAGAAATTAGTCTCAGAAAAACAATCAGATCCTATTCTCTCTAGTTTTTATTTAAATTTATACGTATGAGTGTGTACTAAAAATGTATTTATAGGTCATAGAACTAGATAAAGAATCGTTAGAGGAAAGGAAGAGATCTTAGACCAGTCATGCAGATAACCTAGAACCCCTGCACAGATGTAGCCCATGGCAGTTCAGTGTCCAAGTGGGTTCCCTAGTAAAGGGAACAGGAACTGTCTCTGACATGAACTGATTGGCCTGCTCTTTGATCACCTCCCCCTGAGGGGGGAGCAGCCATACCAGGCCACAGAAGATGACAATGCAGCCACCCCTGATGAGACCTGACAGATGAGGATCAGAAAGAAGGGGAGGAAGACCTCCCCTCTCAGTGGACTGGGGGAGGGGCATGGGTGGAGAACAGGGAGGGAGGGAACTACAGGTGGGATACAAAGTGAATAAACTGTAATTAATAAAAATAAATTAAAACAAAACTGTAAAATAGAGCAGATGCAAGAGTACATCTGTAAGAAAGCAGAAAGGCAGACTCAGTAGGCAGGAGGAGGAGGAGGGGAATTTAGCTGGAAGGGGAAGAAAGCATGGTGAGGGCAGGGGGGCAAAGGAATGAATGAAAACAAAATATAATGCCACATATGTGTGAAGATGCCAGGATGAAACTGGTCACTTTGTACGTTAATCTTAAAATTGATAATAAAGAAATACTGTTTGCCCTTACTCTTGGTGCATAGCATTAAAGTGTACTCAAGCTCATCAGCACAAGACCTTGACCTTTCTGTCCACAGAGCTTAGAACAGGATACTGCAACACACGTGCTTTTTGCCTGAGCAATGAGTGACGAGTTGGTTCCCTGAGCACAAGGCAGCAATAAGACAAAGCTCCCGAGTTAATCTGCCACTCTTGGACATCTTACACGACTCTGTCCTTTTTTATGATGTCTTTGCCCTTTGTCCTTTTGGTTGTGAGACCAGCCTTTAATAGCCGGACCATCTTCCTATTCCTCTATGATGCCTTTGTAAGATGCCACGTAGCTGTCAAAGCCATTTGTGGAACTTCAACAGCAGAATATATTTTTCTAGATTCTAAACAGACTGGAGTTGTTTAGTAATATACATCCATGCAGGTAACTAACAAGATACAAGTTGAGAAATCTGTAACATGATTCCTTAGAAGATTAGCGTTTAGATTTTCTTTTCTCCGTTAACTTTTGTGGTTTTTTTTTAACTGGAAAATATCAGAAACCTAAAAAGATGGTATAAGGGATGGGAAGACATAGGGAAATGTACTGGAAACAATATATTTTCCACAATGTGATTTTCTTCTGAGAGCCAGCACACAGCTTCATGGTATTGTAAATTAGGCAGATTCCCTGCATGGTGAGAGGAAGGATGAACAGAGAATAGGACACTTACTGGTGTTATGATGAATCTACAGACAGAATTATGCAGACAGAAATAGACTGTGGCCTCCCTACCCTGCCTTTGAATCGAGAAACATTTTACTTACAAGGACTTCATTTTCAGTTGGGGACCAACCTTCTCGTGCATTTTGATCAAGCGGTTATTACTGTAAATGAACATTCCAGCTTGGCTTTGGTCTTCTATGTGCACTCCAAAGAACAGGGAGAGTGTTCTTGCCTTTCTTAGTGCCCTAGAATTTTATTTAGAAAGCTGTTTTAAAGTGATCAATTAAGGAAAATTATAAAATTTGTAAAATGTATAATAAACAAATTCAGAAGATAAATATCAAAAGAATGACCTATAACACACCAGGTATTTTACAAAACCTGGAGAGTATAGCTGATATTTATGTATAGCCAAGTATTCTGTATATGCAAATTACTACACGTCACGAACAAGCATTCACTCAAACACAAGTCTTCTCACTTAAATCTAAAAGGACCAGGAAAATCTCTGTTTACTGGTCTGACACATGTGTGACAACTGTAGCAGTCAGAGCAGTCAGGGTTCTCTGGAAGGACAGAACGTACAGGATGATTAGAAAGACTTACATGCCGTGGTCCAGCTAATCCAAAAATGGCTATCTACCAAAGGAAGGTTCAAAAAGTCATTACCTGATAGACTAAGGTTAGAGGGAAGGGGAGGAGGACCTCCCTTTTCAGTGGACTGGGAGAGGAACATAGGTAGGAAAGACAGAGGGTAGGGTTGGGAGGGGAGGGAGGGAGGGAGGTACAGGGGGGATACAAAGTGAATAAACTATAATTAATAAAAATAATTAATAAAAAAAGCTAAAAAAAAAGTCATTAGTTGTTTGGTTCGTAAAGCTCGAAGTCTCCGCTAGTCTTCAGTATACATCAGAATCCCAAAAAGTAAACTCTAATGCCAGTGAAGGAATGGATTTGCCAGCAAGAATGACAGGAAGGCAAAGAGCAAGATTCCTTCTTCCATGTTCTTTACATAAGCTGCGCAGGTTAAAGGTGGACCTTCCCAACCACGGAAGACTGGGATTAAAAGTGGGTCTCTGAATCCAAATGAAGAAAAACTCCCTTACAGGTTCACCAAGGAGCTTGGATTTTAGTTAACTCCAAGTAGAATCAGGTTGACCGCCAAGAACAGCCATCAGAGTCCACCCCTTGTCAACCTGACACACAATTATACCTCCTATGTCATACTTAATTCCCAATGAAAACAATAACCAGGTCACAATTATACCTATCATGATAGAACTATCCCGCTTACAATCACAAATGCATTATATATTTAACTAGGTCATAATTATACCTAACATGATAGAACTATCCCATGCGCAAGTACAAACACATTATAAGTTTTAGAACAGGTGGCACTATCTCTTGAAGGGCATTCTTTTAGTATCTCAATTTACATACGATAACCACTAATATTCTCTGAATTGATGAAGTGTTACATGATAAAAATATTGAGGGCGAAAACAAATATTTGCACAAACACATTCTTAACAAGATATGACAGAAAAACCCATGTTGATTATAACCCCCATTTCTGCAACTGGTCACGTGGCAATAACTGATATTTATAACTACCATCCTATGGTACCCACTCTGTATTTCTTCCACCCTCAGAAAGCACTTTTCCTGGAGGAGTGATCCTTACCCTCATTCCTGATGTGTCTGTACCCTTTGTAATCCTGCCTGCATTAGGTTGTTGTAGTTTCCTCCTGACTTTAATTACAGGACATGTTAGTACCAAGATATGCCCTAAAGGATCTCCTGCAGTCCGGACATGATCTTTATTACCTCCATTGTAGAGAAGCAACCCAATGTCCCCTTGGTGATCTGGATCAATAATCCCTTTTAACACTGTTATTCCTTTCTTAGCCTGTTTGTTTCTGGGCATCAGAAGCCAAAAGTGGCCAGGGGTGAGTTTGAGCTTTCAGTTCAATGAAGTATTTGTTGTATCTCCTGGCAGGACAGCTTTCCACTCTGAAACCAAAACATCTAGGCCGGCAGAACATAAGGTCATAGGAACAGGACCTTATGGGTCACTAGGGGTGATAATGAGTGGAATTCCCTTTTCCACCCCATTGATTCCTGGACCTGTGGATCCTGACTATGGAAGAAACTGGACTATAAACTGGACACTGATATATATCCTGCTTTCTGGAGAAACTTGCTCCAGCCTTCCAGGCTGTTGCCACCTAATTGGCACTGAAACTGTATCTTCAAGAGTCCATTTCATCTTTCTACAGCTGTTTCAGCATGATGCGGAACATGGTAAGACAAAGCGTATTTCATGACTGCGGTGCCCACTCTTGCACTTCTCTGGCTATGAAGTGAGTTCCTTGGTCAGAAGCAACGCTGTGTGGAATACCATGACTGTAGATAAGGTATTCCTGCAGTCTATGGATGGTGGCTTTGGCAGAAGCATTATGTGCAGGAAAGGCAAATCTAAGGAGAATAAGTATCTACTTTAGTAAAGTATTGCTCTTTCCATGGAGGAAATGCTTCAATGCCAACCTGCCACCAGCTCGCTGTCTGGTTACCCGGGGGAATGGTGACATACCTAGGGCTCAGTGCTTATGTCTGCTGTTGGCAGATCTGGCACTGAGCAGCAGCTGTAGCCAGGTCAGCCTTGGTGAGGGGAAAGTCCATGTTGTTGAGCCCATTCATAACTCCATCTGTGCTAGGGGCCACTTTGCTCATGGGCCCCTGGCTTGATGACTGTGATGGCCATGGAAAGATCTAGGCTGATCACAGAACAGGTTACTGTATCTACTTAACTGTTGAACTCCTCCCCTGCTGGCACACCATTTGATGAGTATTTACATGAGACACAAATATCATCACATCCGTTACTCATTTGCAGAGATCTGTCCACATACTTCTCTGGATATCTTTCTCACCAATTTTCCATCATGCTCTTTTCAAGTCCCTGTCTATCCACCCAATCCACCCACATGAATCAGTGAACAACTGCATATCTGACCATTTATCCTTCCAAACAAAACATATGACCATATGTATTGCCTGAAGTTCTGCCCACTGTGAAGATTTCCCTTGTGTCTTTCAGTGTTTTCCCAGAAAGGGGCTGTAATACTGCAGCTGTCTACTTCTGGATGGTGCCTGCATAACATGCAGAAACAGCAATAACTCAAGCCCTAGTCTCCCTTCCTCAGTCAACACATCACAGGGCACAACCCATGAGGCTATACTCTTGGCAGCAGAGGGCACTGAAACAGGAGTCAAAACCATAGGCATTTAGGCAACTTCTCCATGTAACCTGGCTGCGCCTTCAGGAACCTGCTCTGTCCAGATCACATATATACCGTTTCCATTTGATAATGGATTGCTGCTGAGAAAGTCCTATTTTATGGCACAGTGGTTCAGATAATACCCAGCTCATGATGAGCAGCTCGGACCACATGGTAACTTGGTGGCCCATTGTCAAACTTTCAGTTTCCATAAAGGCCCAATAGCAGGGCAAGAGCTGTCTCACAAAAGGAAAACAGTGTCTGCAGATGATGGTAGAGCCTTACTCCAAAATCCCAAAATTCTCTTTTGGGATTCACTTACAGGGGCCTGCCAAAGGCTCCAAACAGCATCCATATGACAGTGAAACCTCAAGCACCATCAGGTCTGCTGCTGGATTATATGGTCCAAGTGGCTAAGCAAGCTGCACCTGTTGAATATCCATCTCCTGTTCCAAGCCCCACTCAGAGATGGAAGCTTTCCAAGTCACTTGGTATATGGGATAGATTAAGAGGCCCACTAAATGGTGTGCTTCTTTCTTGGTGGTAGGAGAGGTCAGTGAAATAACCTATCCTTTACCTTAGAAGGAACTGTCTCCACATTCCCACATCTCTCGCCTCCTAAAAATTTCACTGAGGTAGAAAGTTTCTCAAATTTTGGTTTGATTTATTTGCCATCTGCTGATGCACTATGTATTGCCACCTCACACAAAGCAGTTGCTACCTCTGGTTCACTTTGTTCAATCAGCATGTCATCAATATGCTGTGACCCGATATAATATTTTGTGGAAGAGACAAATGATCATGATACGTTCAAACTAAGATATGATATGAAGGTGGAAAGTTAATATGTCCTTGAGGTCAAACTGTAAAGGTATACCTGATGGCCTTGCCACCTAAAATCAAACTTCTTCATGTGGTCCTTATGAACACGTACCAGAAAAAGGCATTTGCTAGACCAAAAGCTGAACACCATGTAGCAAGAGATGTGCTAATCTGTTCATGTAAGGAGATCATACTATGAATAGCAATTGCATTCAGAGTCACTATTTGACTGAGTTTTCAACAGCCAACCGTCTTTCTCCATAATCCATCCATCTTATGCTCTGGACATATAGGACTATGAGTTAAAGAAAGACATGGTGGCACCCACCAACCCTGCATTTTTCAAACACTTAACGGTAGCACTAATTTCTGTAGTTCATTCAGGGATGTGATACAGTTTTTGGTTCAACTACTCTCCTTGGCAGAGGCATCTCTAAAGGCTCCTTTTAACCTTTTCAACTCTAAGAGTCCTCACTCTTGGAAACAATGTTATAACTTATCTATCCCAATTACACATTCTATGACTGGGAAAATAATCACAGGATGAATTCAGAAACTTGTTGTACCTACTGTGAGTCAGACCACCAAAACTCCCATTAAATAATTGATCTCCGTAAGCCCGTACTTTTATCTATAAGGCCACAGTGTTTCTTGGGGTCTCCTGTTATCAGCATTAATTCAAAACCAGTATCCAACAGAACCAGAAAAGTCTGATTGTTTCCTTTCCCCACTGTACTGTTCCACTTGTTAAAATAAAAAAGAAAAAGGGAAAAAAAAGGTCCCCTGGGGAAGGACCAGAGAAAGGCTAACAGTACAACTCTTAGGTGTATCAGTAAGGTCCTCCCTCAGGGGAACCAAAGGGTACTGGCTCTGCAAACTGGCCCAAGTCTAGAAGCCAGCTCACCAGGCCAAGACTCCTTTTTGCCACAGTCCAATGGAACCTTTCTTTCATTTGAGAATTTTTCTGCTTATACAGACAAAACAAAATGCAGTAGGCCTCTCAATTCATTTCATGCCTAGAAACACCATGATTTATTAGCCGGGATCAAAGGTCCATATAAGTCATAAAAGTCACTCTCCCTGTGCTGAACGTTACGGGTCAGGCCATTATAGACATTGCCCATGCTGCCTGTTATGGTAACTATGATCACCTTGCCTTTGGCGATGCAGTGCTGCCACCTGGCCCCTGCTCCTTTAGGGCCCAATCAAGCCCACTCTTACTCATCCAACTGAGCAGCAGCATCTCCAACTATAAGCTCAAGAAAGGGGGCAACAACAGAGCTCTTCAAATGTGCTGTTGCTCCTCTCACCATTTTTCATCCTACAGGATTAGTGAAGGGGTGTCTTCTGGGCCTTCCATAGTAGAGGATTAGGCTTTACACCCACTCTAGCATTGCAATTTCCTTGAGCCTTAAAAAAATCCCTTCATCAACACTAAGCCAAAAGGATATCAGGAATCTCCAGCTCCTTTTCAGTAGGCCGTCTTTTGACAAATGCTTCAGCCAACCATCCAAACTTCTGACAACATTTTTTTAACTTCACCTCTTCCATATTAAACCTAGAATCTCTGTTCAGTGGTCCCAGTCAATACTCTCAGCTTGATCCAGTTTTATGTTCCTTCTACCATTATCCCAAGCCCTTAAAACCCACCCCCGCAATACTCCCCAGACTTGTATGGACATCAATCAGTAAACTCATTAAGCTCTTTAGTGGTGTAGCACACCTCCTCATGGACTACACACTTTCTAACTCCCCTTCAGGAGCCTCCTTGGTCTGGTTATAGGTCTGGAGGTAACTATTTGTGGGCCTTGAGGGACATCCATATTGTCTTGCCTGACATTCCTTCAGAGAAAGTCACTGCTCACTTAGAAGACAATAAAGAATTAATTTCTTTAGTCAGAGGTATAAAAGGTAGTATTTAAAGGTTGGGGGTATGTCTTCTGTTGAGGGTAGAAAGACTACTTCCTCAGGTGAAATAAACACTTGAACATCTGAGGATTTGAAGCTCTCAGCCTCAGCCCTCTCACACATCTCCATCCCACATCACAGGATCCCACTCTTTACCAGTCCATGCCCTTAGTTCAACCTCTGACACCCTCTGAGACGAGATCTGAACTTTCACTGTAATTCTCCCAAGCTTATAATGAAGAATTATCATTGATTTTCCATAACTTGAGCTCTGACTACCAGGGAGAAGATTCTCTTTCAGGGCACACTTAGAAACCTTTAGACTATTTATGCACATCTGGAGGTTGTCATCCTTCACCATATACTAAGATGTGAGAAGTTGCTTGATTTTATCTCAGAACTTATTCTTTTTCTTTGGCAGTTTATCTAGAGATGCTAGGAACAACTGATCAGCATCATCATTTTCCATATTTTTGCACAAATTGTCAAAAGTTTTATATATGGGGTCATCAAATCCATTGCCTCTCACAATTGATGAGTCAGGATAACCAAATGCATTTTTCTCCTTAAGTTTGTAAAATGATTCACACCATGGGCTTTAAGTATTCTTCAAGGTCCCAGAAGAGGCTTCAGTAATTGTAGGTGCTAACAATTTAAAAACTTTATTCCAGATACCTAAAATAAAATTATCTTTATATTTCTGTTGGTCTAGCACCAGTTCTGCTAAGATTCCAGTAGTTGTTCAGTCCACAAAGGCTGGGTGTCTCAGGATACATCAGAATCCCAAAGAAGTGGTCTCTAATGCCAGTGAAGGAATGGATTTGCCAGCACAAGTGAGAGCAAGCAAGCAAAGACAACAAGCCTCCTTCTTTCAATGGTCTTTATATAGGCTGCCAGCAGACATTGTGGCCCAGATTAAAGATGGATCTTTCTACTTGAAAAGTGGATCTTCCCACTTTAAATGATGTTCTTAAAAAGATAATTCCCTTGATGTCTCTGGCATGGACTCTGTTGCCCAATCTTTGATCACTTTCCCCTGGCAGAACAACCTTGCCAGCCCACAGAGGAAGAGGATCCAGGCAGTCGTGATGAGAGTTGGCAGTCTGATAGTAGAGGAGGAGGACTCCCCCCTTCAGTGGACTAGGAGAGAAGAATAGGGGAGGGAAGGGAAGGGAGGATGTGACTGGGAGGAGATGAGGGAGGGGACTACAATCGAGGTATAAAGTGATTAAATTGCTAAAAAAAATTTACCTTATAGGTGGACCCAGCCACTTGGATTTTAATTAATTCCAGATGTAGTCAAGTTGACAACCAAGAACAGCCATCACAACAGTATTATTGAAAAATGGTAACTTGGCTCTTAAAAAAAATGTTTCTGGCACTATATATGTTTCCCACTTGCAGTGTGTTCTCAAATTCCTAAATAACCTATGTAGATCAAACTGGGCCAAAAAAATATATTCTCTTGCTTTCTCCCTCACATATGCCAAAACTCTAAAGATAAATGATAAAGTGAATTTACATGAACAACAAATAGACTAGACCCTACTAGTTTGTTGTTGTTATTTCTCTATCCCTGTACGTAATTTTTTAAAACTTTTCTATTAAGTGTTAAACCAAACAAAGAAACAAACAAAAAAGTGAGAAACTGCAGCATGCAATACAGACAGCCATGGTAAAAAGAAGGTGCTAGAGCTGCAGGAAGCACCTGGATGCCATACACAGACTTGGCTCACGGTCACAGTAACTGGGCAGCCTTGAGCTACTTGAACACTGTGCCACACCTGCAACACGGGGATAACATCTACCTGGATGCGGGATATGGGGAACAGGAAGAGATGACTTTAGGAATGAATTTGAGATGATAAGAGGTATAAAAATCTTCTTTTATCAGCTACAAATAGGATCTTTCCCCCGTTCTCACAGGTTGACCTGATAACACAGGTATTATATCATACTAAATGCATATACACCTCGTGCAATATACAGATCATGGCTTTTCTCAACAATCTCTGCTTAACCATGACATCCCAATTCTCCAACACATTCGGGTACTGAAAACAAGGGGTCCCAAAAGAGGCCTTTAAAAGATATTACATCTTGGGCTGGAGAGAGAACTTCCACTTCCAGAGGACCCAAGTGCATTTCCCAGCAACCGCACAGGACAGCTCCCAATCACTTGTGACTCCAGTTACCAGCGATCCAACACTCTCCACTGGAGAGCATCTGTGGGCACCTGCGTACACACGGGTGGATGTGCACACAAACACACACACCCTCTCTCTCTCAAGCATCTATTGAATAAAATATACATTAAGTATCCGAAAAGGGAAGACACTGAATGAATAGCGAGTGCATCAAAGGGAAACTGTATCGGGACACACTGGTATACAACAGTCTGTTCTTCAGAAGAATTATCAGCAGGGGTGCCAGTGGGATGGCTTGGTGGGTAAAGGCTCTTGCAATAAAGCCTGATGACCTAAACTTGATTTCCAGGAACCCACACGGTGGAAGTAGAGAACAGATGTCTGCAAGTTGTCCTCTGACCTCTACACACATGCAAACATGCACACACAGACAAAATAAAAATGTAATAAAAAAAATACCATTAACTGCGATTATTTTTAGATAGCAGGGAGCGATAGCCCCACCAGCAGCTGGAAGCGGACCTCATCAAATAATAAATGATAGTAAGGAGTTCAGGAGCCCTGGGTATGCTGTCTAGTTTTATGTCAACTTGACACAAGCTGGAGTCACTGGAGAGGGGCGAGCCTCAATTGACAAAACGATTTAAAAAGATCAGGCTATATTCAGGCCTGTGGGGTATTCAGTGATTGACGTGGGAGGGTCCAGCCCATTGTGGTTGAGGCCATCCTTGAGCTGGTAGTGAAAGCAGGATGAGCAAGCCAGTAAGCAGCACTCCTCCATGGCCTCTGCATCACCTCCTGCTCCCAGGTTTCTGCCCTGTTTGAGTTTCGGCCCTGACTTCCTTCAGTGATGGATTACAATGTGAAAGTGTAAGCCAAATAAACCCTTTCTTCCTTCGCCCCCCCCAAAAAATGGTAAGGGACATTACTCTATGGTAAGGGACATTCTGACTGTCCAGAGAATTAAGAGCGCCAGGTGTGGTGGCATACACCTTTAATCCCAGAACTCAGGAAGCACAGGCTAGTGGATCCCCGTGAGTCTGAGAACAGCCTAGTCTACATGGTGAGTTCTAGGCCAGCAAGGGGCTCCATATCGAGATTCTCTCCAAAACAAAATTAACACAGAATTTTCATAATTCATAATAATGACATAATGCATTATTTGTGTGCTAAATTTTAAGTTTAATTTAAAAATTAGCTCTCTCCTATAAAATCATTCAAGGCAACTGCCTTTATTGCCAGTACAGGTTAATTTTAATGCATTACACTACAGCTGGAAATAAGTTATCAACAAAATTTTTCTTCCTGAGGTCTAGATATGTTAGAGTTTTCAGCAGAAATTTCTATGAAATTTAAATAATTTTGGTAAATGAATTAGTAACATCCTAAATTTACTCTTGACATCTGTATAATTTACATGTTAAGCTTATGTTTAAAGTTGTAACTATATGACCAAAATGATGCTGAAAACTAATCACTGCCCCCTAAAAAGAATTTTCTCAAAGACGTCAGTTTTCAAAGTCTGACTTGGTTTATACAGCAGTTGTTGGTTTTTATTTTTGTTTGTTTGATTTTTGTTTTTTATTTAACTTACTCAGCATCTGAGTCGGCAAACAAGTTAAACTTACAAACATAAATATTTGTTTTATAAGATAACCTTGCCATTTTCATTTTAAATACATATAAGTGACACATTCCTTCAAGCGTTATTTCTTATCTTAAATTTTAAGCTCTAGAGTAAATGACAGATGACAGAGGGACCATGAAGCTGTTGTATGAACTCCTGCTCGGGTCTCTTCATATTGATATCTTCATAAAGTCTAAACTGCCAGATTCTGAGAGGTTTTCTGGCTTGTTTTCACCATTATATAGTCACAAATGTACACGTCAATAAACACTCTGCCAGTGTTTTACAACATGTGTCTTGGGTGGGGAAGCCTCATCACGCTAAGATTTACCATCATAATACATCATACTCTAACAAATGTAATAACTACCAAATCTGCCCACTTAGGAACACAAATTTGACCCAGTTCCGGGGTCCTGATAAACAGAAAGCCTTAGGCCTTACCTCTGTTTCTGGAGAAGATTTTTATGCTTTCTCTCCACATCTTCCAAAGCTTTCTGTAATAAATCCTGGAGAAGAATATTTGGTTTAGTGGAAACATAAGGACATTGGACTGGTGCCAACTGAGCTGATACCCTGTTATCAGAAGGTTCAGGGGCAGCAGTGACAGCTCATCTTATCTAACGCAGTTCTCAAGGTAGAAACCCAACAGGCACCCAGCACTAGGTTACGTTCCAGTGTTTCCAGAATATACCCTAAGCTCAAATCTATCATTCTCTTTTTGTACAGTCTAAGATGGCCCCTTCACCTTCATTTTACATCCTATATGGCAGAAGGGTTTTGACACAAACTACGTGAAAACTTGAGTGAGTTATTCAATGCATACGGGCTCTGACTTTTGTCTGAGGGAACAGGAATTCTACATTTTGCAGTCAGTGAGGCATATTTCAAGGGGGAAAAAGGAATAATAATTTTTGTCAGTAGACCTTCTCAGTACGTCTCCTTATCAAATTCTAGACTAAAACTTCCCAAATGTTCTGTTTACAGGTTCCCTGGGATTTTTCTTTTCAGAGTGCTCTAAAGCGAGACCCCAGCCTTTCCTTCTTTTAATCTGATGCGTTAGCTTATTCCCTCCCTTATCTCTGGTATGTTTCCATTCCCTCTAATTAGGCTGAAAAGGACAAATTCGTTACTACTGTTAGACTTTTATAGGGACTACTTGGGAAGACAAAGGCATCAGTGGGAGTCAGAGGGGTACAAGATAGGGCACGGGAGGTGAATGTGATCAAAATGCATTCTATGCATATATGTAAATGTTATGATGAGGCTCCGTGTATGTGACATATGCTAACTTAAACCGTTTAAAAATAAAGAATAGACATTTAAAGAGCTCCATGCATCACATATGACCAATGGCCTCTCGTGATGGTGGCCATCTTGATGGCTGAATCACTAGTAGAACACCACTTTTACTATCTTTCAAGTAAAAAAATGGGCAGGGGTGGGTAGAGTACAAAAATTTTTCATATTAAGCTTCCTAAAAGCATGTTATGAGGTCAAAAGTTCAGAAGTTCAGGTCACTCCCCTTTGCTTTCTTCTCTGCATTAAAGTAGCCAGGGCACTTTACAGCTACAAAGCAAGCTGGCCAAGGACAGCCCACCCTTCCTGGGATAGCATTCAGAACAGAGAAATGGCACAGGGAAGCAAAACCCTGACCCATGAGAGTCTGTTTTTCCCAGCTTTCATATACAGAAGGCAAAGGGCATTGATAATCTTAGAAACAAAAATAAAAAAGCTTATATTACAAAAAAAAAAAAAAACAATAAAAATGAGTTGTTTACTTTCTCCTTTAAAATGATAACAAGAACATAAGACTCATGAGAAAGCCATGATTATGCTTTGCCTGAGGCATTAACACATACCAGTCTCTGATTTCGTCCCTTCTATGTAACCTATAGACCACAGACTTTCTTAGACAAGTCCCTGGGTTTCAGAGCTAAGGCCAAGTCATTGCAAAATTTACTTATTTTTTTTTTTGATAATTTATTTTTACAGCATTGGTTAGTGTTTTGCCTGCGCATATGTCTGTGTGAGGGTCTCATATCCCCTTGAACTGGAATTGCAGACAGGTGTGAGCTGCCGTGTGGGTGCTGCGAACTGAACTTGGGTCCTCTGGAAGAGCATCCAGTACTCTTAACTGATACACCATCTCTCTAGCCCAAAGATTTACTTATTTAACATGTAGAAGAGGCAAAAGGGAAGGTGAAAGGCAGAGAGTTCTCTCCCCATTCGAGTTCATCTCTTTGCACACAAACAAATAGATGTAGTACTTAATGAATCATGACAGTGGAGGTGTTATGCCATGGTTTTGGTAAAAGCAGAATTCCAGTGCGTATCTTGCAGCCATATTCTTCTTCTGTTAGCTGCAGTATGCTATAATTAATAATTATAGTTCTTTATAATGTGCCTTACTGGTGGGCATATTACAAGGATGGCAGAGCTTGTTTATGAACTGTGTGAACCGAATCACAAGAAAAGAGCTTTGTAAGCTGGAAGCATTGTGATTAGTATTCATAATTATGGTCTATGATTCCTAGCACTGGGGAGAAGGATTGTTTATTAGCGCTCTTCTTGCTTTCTCCATTTATCTGGGTCCATGGAGAACTATAATTTGAATAGATATTTTTGAGGATGCTTCATAAGGCTAGATATTTTTCTGCTATCCTTTTATTATTTTATCTTTTCCTTGTACTGACTTCCTTTTCATTTTAACAGAAATTGGCTGTAAAGCTCTTTTGCCCTGCTCCAAATTCACCACAGATTCTGCTCACCTTTGCTTCACCCCAGCCTTCCCCCTTCTCACTGGGTTTCCTCTCCTCTCTCTGTACCCACCTCATCTGTTTACCTGTGCTAAAATCACCTTCATCTCCTGAGCTTGTCCGTGTTTAAGAGTATAGAAGGTCCATGATCAGAGACAACTATGCAAAGGGGGGAGGGGGGAGCTAGTGGCGTCGCTTGCCACTGAGGATGACTTTTGCATGTCCTACCTTGGCAGAAGACAAATAAATTCTGTCGGGCTGGTTTACCTCAACTTGCACTTCTTTAAACGTGAGTTCAGCTGGGAGCAAAAACACAGCAGTTACAACACATACAGATTCTTCCAAGCTATTTCTAAGCACATGTTTTCTGCACTTGTAGCCATGATCACTGGGAATGTCAGACAGGCCACAGTCTGAAAACCTTCTGTTCCTCTCAGAGCTCTTGTTCATTTTAAGGCTTCTATTTGAGGTAGACGGAAGATGTTGCTGTAGGCAAGGGTGCCTTCTCTGCAAGCATCATGATCTGAGTCTGAATTCCAACCATGAACATAAAAAGCAGGGCAAGGCTGCACGTGTATGCAACCCCAACACTGTGGGGTAGGGACAAGCAGATCTAGAAGGCTCGCTGTCCAACCAACCAAGTTCAATTGGAAAAGAGAATGTATCTTCCCAAAGAGAGGCAGTGTTCATCTTCAACATGAGCTTCCACAGCATCATGGCATCCAGGGTTTCTAATGAAGCCATTAATTCTTAATATCTTGGGGATTGTGCTGGATAACTTTGTGTCAACGTGGCACAAGCTACAGTTATCTGAGAGGAGGGAAGCTCAATTGAAAAATATCTCCAAAAAGTTGGGCTGCAGAAAAGCCCAATTAGTGGTTCATGTGAGAGGACCAATCCCATTTTGGGTGGTGCCATCCCTGGGAAGGTTGTCCTAGAACCTATAAGAAAACAAGGACCATGTATGGATATAACCTAGAACCTTTACTCTGACAAAGCTCGTGGTAGCTCAATAACCAATTGGTTTCCCATAGTAAGGGGAACAGGGACTATCTCTGACAGGAACTCAATGGCAGGCTCTTTGACTCCCCACCCCCCAAGGGAGGAACAGTTCTGCTAGGCCACAGAGGAGGACTTTGCAGCCAGCCCTGAAGATACCTGATAAAACAGGGCCAGATGAAAGGGGAGGAGATTCTCCCCATTCCGTGGACTTGGAAAGGGGCAGGGAGAAGCTGAAGGAGGGAGGGTGGGATTGGGAGGGAATAAGGGAGCGGGATACAGCTGGGATACAGAGCTAATAAAATGTAACTAATAATAACAAACAATAAAAAATTTAAAAAAAAAATAAAAGAAAACAGGCTGAGCAAGCCATAAGGGGCAAGCTAAGGGGTACCCCCTTCATGGCCTCTGCATCAGCTCCTGCCTCCAGGTTTCTGCCCTGCTTGAGTTCCTCAACTCACTGCTTTTGATGATGAACTGTTAAGTGGAAAATGAATGAGATAAAGTCTTTCCTCTCCAAGTTGTTTTTGGTGTTTCATCATAATAACTCTATCTAGCACAGGGATAATACTTAAGATACTACATAAATTATAGGTCAGTGAGATGGCTTAGTGTGCATACACAAGGCAGAGAGTAAATTTGAAAAAGATATTAAATTATATCATAATTTAAAACTAGAAATATTCAGTGTAGTTTAAGTTCCAGAGATGGGAGCTCTATTTGGCTGACAGTGACAGTGCCCACAATTCCTAGAGCAGTGTTTTCTGAGAATGAGTGCTTGACTAGCATTTGCTTAGTGGATAAACCATTAATGGTTTGGCTGTAGAAACGCACATACCCGTCTTCACTGCTTCTTCTGCTTTTTTAACTTCAGTTTTAAACTTCCCTTTGAAAGAAGAGGTAGTATATTCATACTTCCTGGAAAAAAGAGAAGAGCACAATCAAGTCAGATTACCATTTTAAAGAGTATTAATAAGAGAGTATTCCTCAGTAAGAGTAACACTATATACTCCAGAGATATGCAGTTATTAAGAAAGGAAGATTCACCGAGGAAGTTCCCTCTGGCTGGTGCATTAGCAGGCTACACACCTAAATCACCTACCTTTTAATACACGGTACTTGAAGCTCAGAAAATTCACAGCCAGGAAACCATGAGTCAAGGATGAGATAAAACCTCTTCCCACACGTGTTCACTTCCATATGTAGAACAGGAGACCTCTCAAAAGGGGACACAAGATCATCCAGCTGCTCCACTGTCCAAGTTTCTGGTTAATATACATAATCCTCTCACTCAGATCACTGACATTGGATAAATGGCTTCTCCCGGTCCCCAAGCAATTATCTTCACCAGAAATATTCAGGAAAACACATAAAATGTCATTTTGACCTACTAAAAAGCCCCACTTTCTACTGTGTTAAGAATCTTTTTTTAAGGTCCATTGTTTGAGTGACAGCAAACAGAAAATATATGTATATACCTATATATCTATGAATTAAAGGAAAAACAAAGCAGGAGTAAGATGGGGGCACATTTCCAAGAGTTGTTAATCAAGGAGGCTCCAGAAAACCTAAAAAAAAAAAAAAAAAAAAATACAGGCAATTCACCTGTATTTGTGGTGGTGGTGACAGTGGCAGCACTGCCTTTAATCCTAGCACCAAGGAAACAGAGGCAGACAGATCCCTATAAGCTTGAGTCCATGACAGACATGGCTGTGTTGCACAGAGAAACCCTGTCTCAAAAAACAATAACAACCAAACATACCAAAAAAACCAACCAAACAAAACTCTATAGACAGTTTTGTTTATAAACTAACTCTGTTAGTTTCCTACAGAACAAGGTGCTAAGACCCTGACACATGCTTTAGTCACAGGACATTGAGAAAGCAAGAGGGAACTGGCCTTCACTGTGCTGGAAGGTGCTTAAGGCAGGCTTCTAGGAAAAATTATTGTCACTAGTCACACAGCTGGAGACTCCAGCTGGGCAAGATGAGGCCACTCAACCTGGCTAAAAAGCCTTATAGGCCCTAGTGGGAAAGCTGCTGCAGTTATTTTGCTAAATGGACATGACATGGCTGTCAAACTACCTTCTAAAGAGGTTATGTTTGTTGCTGGAGAGGTTGTGGAGAAAAGGGAACCCTCCTCCATTGCTGGTGGGAATGTAAACTTATACAACCACCTTGGAAATCAACCTGGCGCTTTTCAGACAATTAGGAATAGCACTTCCTCAAGATCCAGCTATACCACTCCTAGTCACATATCCAAAAGAAGCTCAAGTACACAACAAGGACATTTGCTCAACCATGTTCATAGCAGCTTTAATCATAATAGCCAGAATCTGGAAACAACACACATGTCCTTCAACGGAGGAATGAATACAGAAAATGTGGTACTTTTACACAATGGAATACTACTCAGCAATTAAAAACAAGGAAATCATAAAATTTGTAGGCAAATGGTGGGATCTAGAAAAGATCATGCTGAGTGAGGTATCCCAGGAGCAGAAAGAAACACATGGTATATACTCACTTATATAGACCTCTAAGATAGGATAAACATACTGAAATCTATACACCTAAAGAAGATAAACAAGGACGGACCCTGGGTAAGAGGATCAATCCTCACTTAGAAAGACAAATGGGATGGACATGGGAAGGAGGAGAAAACAAGTAACAGGACAGGAGCCTACCACAGAGGGCCTCTGAAAGACTATCAGTATATCACAGCAGACGCAGAGACTCATAACCAAACCTTGGGCAGAGTGCAGGGAATCATATAATAAATGGAGGAGTTAATATGACTGGGAGAGGACAGGAGCTCCACAAGGACAAAATATATCAGGGCACAGGGGTCCTCTATGAAACTGTTTCTCCAACTAAGGACCATGTATGGATACACCCTAGAACCCCTGATCAGATGTAGACCATGGTAGCTCAGTATCCAAGTGGGTACCCTATTAAGGGGAACAGCAACTATTTCTGACATGAACACAATAACTGGCTCCTTTACTTCTCCCCACCCCACCCCCGAGGGAGGAACAGCCTTGCTAGGCCACAGAGGAGGACATGGCAGCCATTTCTGAAGATACCTGATAAGCTAGGGTCAGATGGAAGGGGAGGAGGACCTCCCCTAGCAGTGGACTTGAAAAGGGGCAGGAAGGAGAAGAGGGGGAGAGGGTGGGATTGGGAGGGAATGAGGGAGGGAGCTACGGCTGAGATACAATGTAAATAACCTGTGATTAATATAAAAAAACAAAAATTAATTATAAAAAAAGATATGTTTGTGCTCACAGAACAGTGCTACTGTCTGCTTTGGCCAGATAAGATTTTCTGCAGTAATCCAGAGACTGCAGAAGCTCACAACTTGTCTAAGCACATAGAATGAATGACTTTGAATGACAAGACATAAGTGGCCCGTGCATAGCACTACCTCCAAGACTTGGGGAACATTGGAGAAAAGAACCATAAAGAGTGTAAGAGCAGAAGAAATTGGGTGGAGGAAACAGTGTGCACAGTAGCTTCCAGGCAGGACATGGCAGCTGCACTCTTGAAGGCACAGCGGCTGTGGTTAAATGGTAAGAGCTGTACAAGATCAGATCCATCAGCATCCTGTCATAGACAAGGTAGGTGTTCACAAGGGCTCGCCCCCTCCCTGACAACAGCTGATGGAGGGCGAGCTGGTTAGTTGTCCATCAAGTTGACACAAGCCATGGTCACCTGGAAGGAAGAACTTCAACAGATTAGCCAATGATCGTGTCTGTGAATCTATTCTGGATTGGTGATTCATGTGGGAGGACCCATTGCACTGTGAGTGGGACTGCCCCTGCTCGGGTGGTCCTGGATATTATTACAAGAAAGCAGGCTGAGCAAGCCAGTAAGCAGCCTTCCTCCTTGGCTCCGGCTTTACTCCTTGCCTCCTGTTTCCTGCTTTGAGCCGCTGCACTGACTTCCCCTCAGGGCAAACTAGAAGTATAAAATACAATAAACCCTTTCTTCCCCCACACTGCTTATGGTCATGGTACTTATCTCAGCAAGAGCAAAGGACAAGAAAGACATTTTCATCATTTTGCATAAACAAGGTTCCACCCATGGTCCTCTAAATAACCAGAATGAAGTATATTCCCCAACCCACCTCTCTCTCTCTCATACATACACACACACACACACAGTGAGAGAGAGAGAGAGAGAGAGAGAGAGAGAGAGGAGGGGCTGAATGAGAAGAGGGAGGGGATAAAGAGAAGACAAGAGAAAGTAATAAAGATGAACATGATTGAAATACATCATGTTCATGTATGAAGATGTGATAAACAAAACTTATTTTCAGGGATGAAGAGATGGCTCAATGGTTAAGAGCACTGGCTGTTCTTTCAGAGGTCCTGAGTTCAAACCCCAACAACCACATGGTGGCTCATGACCATCTATAATAGGATCTGATGCCCACTTTTGTCATACAGGCAAACATGCAACTAGACCACTCATATATATAAATAAATAAATATCTAAAAATAATAAAAATAAAGCTTATTATTATTACAAATAATATATACTAATAAAAACCTCAAAGTGGAAAAGCTTTGTGAAATAGGTCACCTTTTTCCATACAGGATCCTTGGAAACTGGCTCTTAAAGTTTGGCTTAAATCATCATGGGAAGAAACATTCTAGAGTATTAGGCTCAAGAAAGCCCAAAGCACTACAACCTCACAGAAGCTCAACAGTTACTCAACATCTCATTTAGAAAGGCATGGCACAGCTAATTCTATGTGTCAACATGACTGGGCCACAAGCTGCCCTGAGAGTTGGTAAAATATTATGTGCAAGTGTGTCTGGGAATGTGTTCCTGGAGGAGATGAGCATCTGAAGGGGCAGACCAACAAAAACAATCCTTTCTCATCAGTGTGTATGAACATGGCCCAGTCCTTGAGGGTAGCAAAAGCACAAAAAGAAGGTAGGCTAACCCAAGCTCAGCTTGAGCTAGGACACCAACTCTTGTCTGAAAATATCAGAACCTCAGGTCCTGGACCTGCATGTGCTCTGACTACCTACTCTTTCCCTGCCAGGGTCCTTAAGCCTTTGGACTCAGACTATCAGGCCTATGGATTCAGGCTGAGCTATATACTGTGGTGTTGCTGGGCTGACAGTATGCAACTACGGATGATAGGGTGTCCGGAAATCTACACACAGGCAACTTAAATCTCACATAGAGTCCCTGACTCTGTGTTCGAGGTTCTGTTTCTCTGGAGAATTCTGACTGATAAAGTCACCATCAGTCAAACATACTCAAAAGCAGAGCTCATAAGCTGAAGTGCAAGCTGTCCTAAGTGTGCGGCAACACAGGCGGACTACAGCATGTGGGCCAAACTGAGCCGCTGACTCCTTCTGAGACAGCCTCTCATCTATTTGGCCATGTGGGGGAGAGGGGGCGGTTAAATTAAAAGAATATGCAAGTGTGTCTATGTACTTACTAACACGCTTCCTGCAGAATAGCCTGGCAACCCAGGCTTTAATTACAACAGCCTTTACATGGCGGTGTTCCGACATTTAAAAAGTACTTTAAAGATTTTTTTTTTTTTATGTATTGGTATATGTCTGTGTATGTGTCATCTGTGTGGGGGTGCCTGCAGAAGCCAAAAGAAGGTATCAAATCCCCTGATGTTAGAGTTAGCAGGCAGTTGTGCGCCTCTGAGTGGTCAGAGCTGAACTCAGGTCCTCTGAAATTAGCAGCAAGATCTCTAACATACTAAGCTATCTCTCCAGCTCCATATACTAATTTTAAACAACGTAGGCAAAAATGCAAATTCTTCACTGATTGTGGATACCAACAGGTCACACATCAACTAAAAGGTTGGCAGCTACAGTCTGTTTACAGTTTATTGAGAAGTCTTTTCCATTGTCTTAACAGAGGCAGTATAGATGTACACAA